TAAACATGCGCCCGCAACACCGTGTCACTTGTAGCTTGTAGATGAACCATTATGATTCCCCAATGGCTCGAGTCCAGATTCACCGCGTGCAGGATGAACTTGGTGCGTGCAAGTGCCGCTTTCGGTATAGAGGGCCATCCAACTATCCACAGCAAAGACGAGATGACGTAGCAGTTCCCCACTACACTCCCAAGCGTACGCAAGCAGAAATCGATGTGGCTGTCATTGAGCCACCCCGACACAGCCCTCCCAAAATGTTCTCGAAAGTGATCGTTCTGTTTCCAGACAGCGCCATAAACTCCGTGAGCAATCTGCTGGAAGCGAACTTGGCAATAACCTCGTTGGCCAAAGCTTTATGTCGATTGCAGACAGCATCTGCTGACAGACCTTGAGTTCTTGTTTCTCTGGCAAAAAGGCTCACATTGGAGGGTAACTTCAGCCAATTCTGCTCCAGCCACTTCCGGTCTTCAAACCACATATGTCCCTTGGTCTTGATAGCGTGGAATCCCACCAAAGAACCTATGTAAGCGCTGCAGCGATTTAAATAGTTAAGGCAATCTTGAAGCAGCAACCTTACAAAAAACAACCTCAGAGATAAAAGCAACCTTACCTGCTAAACTTCCATATTTGTGGGTCGATCGAGGCAACCATGTCAAGAACGATTCCATGTTTCTTGACCGACTCATCCAGCTCGTCAGGTTTGCACTGCTCGCGTTTTGCTGTAGTAATTGCAGCCTGCATCGAGCGCGTGAGATCCACCGGAATAGCGAAGTTGTGCATGTACTCGGCTGGGCGATTTGCTTCCCACACACACACACACAATGGTGTGTGTCCTCAGGTAAGCATCTTTTAGCAGCACAGGATACTTATTCATGGTCTCCAGCACAAACTTCATATTTGGAGTGTTTCGGGCCCATGCCACGAGCTCTTCTAGCGTCACTGAAAGCTTGCTTGGATACTTGTGCAAGGCCAAACGTTCGGGGACCAATGTCGTCTGCCGAAGCTGCTTAGTTATTGCGCGGGAGTTGATACGACGCTTCGGTTTAGGCATGCTGATGATGTCAACTTGACGAGCAGGTTTCCTGTCAGCCTCATCTTCGCCCTCTCTGCCACGACTCGTTGGGATCGTAGCTGTTGCTTCCAGCGATATGGGCAGAACGCGTTCCTGCTGTAGTGATTCTTCTGCTTCGGATTTTGTTGCTGCTGCTGGCGTTGACACCACTGACACTGCGG